TCTATATGTGATATTCTATATTTATTCTATCACAGTTTGCGAACCTTATATTATACTTTATCAGCGACTCATGAGGGTGTCGGCTAACTTGTACCCATTCTCTTCCATTGTCCTTTCGGTTTCTGTGTGTTTTGCTTTTTTCTAAGGTGTAGTCCTATTAAATAGCGTAGTTCTATGTCTTTTATGCTACACGTAACATTCTGATTGTGGAGCCTAACAAAAACGGTGGCTAAAATCAATAGTTGATTCCATAGCATCAGTAGGCCTAATATAATTTTCCCATACCAGTTTGATGACATTTCTTCGGCCAAATAGGGTCTTTGGTCCAACTAAGTACCGTAAGTATGTAGTTATGTATACTAATATTTCCATATTTCTATTTGGATTACAAATGTATCGACCGGTGAGATCGAAGAACTTCAACAACCTCAATTTAATTGGAACTTCTTAATTATTAATTAAAATGAATTTCTGATTGTTTTGTATTACAATAAGATATTATCTTTAACTGATATTAGAGCGAGATTTTTTTTTTACCAATTCACGAACCTAGTCCTAGTTGCAACTTACACTTTTTTTTTTTCATTTCATTCATAAACTTCGTAGTCGATTCTAATTACAGTACGACTAAATTAAGTCATAGTTTTAGTTTAGTTGAAGACTACTGGCAAGCAACGACTATCAAACTAACCAATGAGAGCTCATTTTAATAGCAGACGATCGTTTTAGAGATCCGGTAACGCGGATGAATACAGTATTAAGCTGCCTTCTGCCGTTCAAAAACATTTCCTCATAATTCATAATTGATAATCATTCGCTTAATTAATTTTCTATAATAATAACTATATTAGTCGTTAACATATAACAATAGAGAATTGGAACTGCCTTTGGAAATTTTCTTTCTTTTGAGATCTGTTATAATTTAGCCCGAACGAGGGCGCCGCCATTTTTGTTGTTATGGTGATGATACGTTACGGTATTTGCTAAATACAACGGGTTCAGCCGAGGGGGCGTGGCTTCGTATGTTGACGTCATGCATAACCTCAGCTATGTTTTGTGTTAATCTCCTTGACAAACTGTGGGCCCTGTCTGTAATCATAGAGCATAGCAACATACAGTCCGTACAACTAATTCCTTCATGTACGACCAATGTAAGAAAATATAAAGTTGTCCCTGTGTGTTTTTCATTCCAAAAATTAGGATCCCTGGAATATTATCAATTCATGGGGCCAACACAGAGTGAAATAATACATAGTCCTAGCTAGTCTTATTTTAGCGGTAGGGATTAGGCCTTAATCACAGAAAGAAATGAAAACAATTCAATGGCCTATGCCCTACTATAGTACAATACTTAGCAAGGGGTGGCGGCAGCGGGTGGAGGGAGGGGGAAACATCAGAGCCCCCGTCGGGGAGCTGGCTTCTCTCCCACACACCCTGCCGGGGAGAAAAACCACAATTCGTCGGGGAGAAAAAATGTAATGTATTTTCTACATATTAGTAGACACCAACATCGACTAAAGCCTTCCAAACCCAAATTTTTTTTTTCTGGGGTGGGGGAGGAAAGCCCTGTGGGAACACTTTCGACGACGGATATTGAGGGACGCCTGACCACGCCCACTTTTTTTCGTCGGGGACAAAGCTATGTAATATTGGTGTTTAATATTTCTGTCAGTGTTACAAGATTTTTTTTTACAACTTAAAAGGTTGCGTATGTTTATACCTGTCTCTTATACACATCTAGATGTGTATAAGAGACAGGTATAGTACAGTGTGAATTACTTATGTAAACTAATATCCGTCCTAGTTGGTATTAGTCAACAATGTCGCTGTAAGTTACCAATGTTTTGGTAATTGGCTAGCGCCTACTGTAACACCTTGCCTATACCCCATATCGGTTCACATTCCGTTGAACTACAATGCCATTAGCTTTTAAGAGCTGCTCCAAAAACTATCTTTTGTTATGCAGATATCTGATTGTACCCAACCCTCAAGTGTCCTAGGACCTATTTTCATACTAGTGAAGAGGTTTTATTCCACTGCTAAGCACGACCTTACTCTTGCTAAAACCCATGACTCTTGATTAGTGTAGTTACTATTATTTTATCATAAATTTTCTCTGAATGGAATTTATATTCTACCTGAATCCATGTTTAATGGTAAGTAGGCATGTACTCAATAAATATTTTAAACTTGTTAAGTATAAAGACAATGCATCTACATGGTTTTATGGTATAACCACAGATCCTCAATGTAGAGGATTGTTACTCTTTTTCTTGACAAGTTGGAAGAATCCACATCCGGGAGATAATAATATTTATTATATTATTGTGGATAGTGATACCCATTGGCACTTCATTAGTGACAACTTGTACACACACCATGGATTTGCAGATGAGGTTTTTTTTTAGGAGATTCTTGCATTCACACGGGAGGTTCCTGTGCTTGCAGAGACTGAGGAGCCTGTACAATGCATAAATGTGTATTTTTCCTAATGAAGACTGGTCTGCTTACTGTTTAATAGTGGAGTTGAATATTGAAGATTAATCTGCTTACTGTCAGTGGAGTTGAATATTATACAGATATTGCCTGCTTAGAGGTGTAGGCCTACTGTAATATAACATTTGATATCCCCAAGGGAATTATATTTTTTTCGAGGGAATATGTTTTCCCAAAGCGCAAAGCGCTGAGGGAAAATATAGTCCTGAGAAAAAAATATAATTCCCAAGGGGATATCAAATGTTATATTACACCGATAGAAAAGGCAATATCTGTTATATTACATCGCCAAAAATAGATGCAAATAATTAACTGAACACATTAATTTACATATCAAGAACTTACACCTTCACAATTCGTGAGCGATCGACTAGCATTCACCACGGACGCAAATGCTGGCGTAATCCGGTGACGTAAGAGACCGGTCACTTTTCCTCGTAGCGCTAGTCACGTGATGCCATTTCGACCAACCACATACTCGTTTAATTTTACAATATCATAACTAATAAAAATATAATTATTATTGTATTATTGATTCATAATAAGTATATATTTATATAGTAGACTCCGAAGTCGATTAAATAGGCCTTTGAAACCCCTAAATTGTCAAAATTTTCAGGGGTTTCGCCCCTGGATTACTTTTGAAACATTTTAAGCGACGCTTGGCTACGCCCATTTTTCTCTTGTCAGGGAAAACTGACCACCCCCCCCCCCATCTCGGAGACCTCAGAAACCCCATCGGGCCACCCCTGAATGTGCTTGTTTTTTAATTAATCATGTCTGTCATTGCATTCTAACGACAAAATAAATGATATGATATGAGTGGCGAATCCAGGAATGTTAATAGGGCCCAGAGAAAGACTTTTAGTGATAAAGGGTCAACACAACCTCAGCCCCACCATGGTTGGGACTGAGGTAAGAAAAATTATGATTACGGCACCTCTAAACGACCGGAAATTGGACGTACCCACAGACTTAAAATTTAAAAAATTAGGATATAATTATGATATAAAGTCGATGTTAGATACACATACATTATGCTGTTATGTAACAAAGCCCTTTTGGGGTCAGGTTGCTAGATCGAGGACCATGTTGTCAGGGGCCCCAAACGGGGCTGCGGACCGCCGCACGAGAGCACATAGATTACGCCACTGTGCAATATACCGGTATATCTGCCCACAAATGTAATGTAACAGTAATTCGATTATGTAGCGCTTTATATATACCGGAGCCTCAAAGCGAGGTGTGAACTAACTGGTATAGTAACTTTCTTCTCCCCTGAGGGTCTCTTTATGTCTGAGCTACCCGGTAAACCGGTACCAGCTACTGGTTGGTCTGAGGTACTGGGTGTGGGCTCACGGCTTTGAAATAGTAAAGTAAAGTAAAGTAAATACATCAAATACAATGGTTTTAAGTTTTATTTTCTATTGTACATAACACATTAATTAGATCTCTCTAGTTGATATTATGACAAATTTTTTGCCCTTTATTATTTTGACTATAATGGTGATGTGATGATGATGAATTTTATTAAGAGTACCGGTATCATTTCCGGCCACCTAGATGTACTATTTCCTCAAATTGTCACGCCTCAGCCCCAACCATGGTGGCGCTGTGGTGGATGTCCACTCACGAAATGTCCCCACCTTTCAAGACAGATCTGCACCCTTGAGTGCATGCTAAAGAGACTGTCGCCTAAATATGTAATAAAATTAGCTGTCATATCAATACCAATAGGCTTACGCGAAATTTTAAAAATCAGTTACAACTGAAGTTAACATTTTTTGACACTTTCTTTTGCCTGTATTGTATCACTGATTTTTGCCGAGGGTTTTTTTTTTATATATAAAATTAATTACGATTTTTGAACGGTTTATTAAAAAATGGAGGTAAAATAAATTACACTACGGATAAAACAAATGTTACATGAACTGTAAAATTAATAGGGTATTATACGTACAGTAGGCCTAATTGTCAAGTAGAACGGCTACCGGTATAAAAATAATACATTGCTACATACTAGAATTCAAATATTATTTTTCGTCTCTTCTTTAGGTATGTCTTAAAGGAAATACTGCATAGATGTTAATCATCATAAGTAAATTTCCCGTACGAATTAAATCGTAACGTACTTGGTTTTGTCTGCAGGAGCTCGTGCTTCGTGTTGGTCATTCCATTCATAGTAAAAGCCTTTTTATTGGAGAAAACGTACATGTTGTTAGCCATGTAGCCTAGGTCAATACCTAACTCGGGCTATATAAAATTGATTATAAAATTGAAGTGACACTATGTCCACGTTTTAATTAATTTTATTTGTTTGTTATTAAACATTATCATATATATTAATTATATTTAAATTTAATGTATTGTTTAAATATGAATGACTACGTCCATGTTAAATTAATCTTATCTATTGAAATTGTATATAGTATAGGCCTAGGTCTAAACATAGTGTAATGTACACAAATATAAATAAAACAAAACGCAAAATGTGAAAGAATAAAGAAGGAAGAATAGGAAAGAGACTAGGAGCGACTGAAATATTTTCCGAAAATATACAATAATAATCAATATGCCATTATTGCTTTTCATTATTGCAAACATTTTTAGGCACTAATCATCATTTGTTTATGTGCACACATTATAATACCTTACCTGTTACCTGGATGTAGCACCCGCAACTTGCAGATTTGCTGTTACAGTAAGCCAGTAGTCTCGGTCTCCTGCTCTTCTTGCACATTCAACATATTCATGTTTTGTCCATTCCTGTATATCCCTCATCTATGTTTTTCTAGGCCTTCTTTTAGTTCTAACTCCTTCTACTTTTCCTTCTATGAGAAATTTCTGTAGCCTCTTCGCTCTGACAAACATGACCAAAATACTGTATCTTTCATTTCTTTTCAATGTTATCATTAGGTTATCGTTGTTTTCGTAGTCGGCGCAGCCACTGGGTCAGCATGTCGTCTTCTCCGTTGCCTTTGTGGTTTATTTTTTTGATTATTCATTATTGATATATAACCATTATTCTTAATGCAGTATTTGCTGTTATTATCATTGTTATTAAAGACATTGCAATGATATAATCATTATAATAATATTATTGTCACAATGATAACATTTTCGATAATATTAGAATGTTCATAATTACTTTTAGTCCTGCTGATTTAAGATTTAAACATTTTTTTCATATCTACACTTGATCATTAATAAAGTATAAATATAATTTTTAATTCCACAGATAAATTAAACACACTTTTATAGAATCAGCTTTTGATGATAACAATGAAGGTGGCAAGTATTCTGGCAAGAAAAGCGAGTACGTTATTTGTTATCTTGGTGACGGTTGTATTGCTGGGAATAGTATACTATAGGTCCTCACCTAATATAAGACTACGGAACGATGTAGAATCTGAACAATCTGAGCCTTCATCAAATGAAGGCTTTTGTAAATATTGCTACACTTCTGGATTCGGGACGCCAAGGAAAGCACTGCCAAGAAAACAGTTGCGCCAAAGTGGATGTGAACAACGGTTGCCAGATGCGTTAATAATAGGCGTGAAGAAATGTGGAACAGGAACCCTGACACACTTCATCAGTTTTCATCCACAGATAGCACCAGTGCGTGAGACACTGCATTACTTTGTTACTGATTATTTCAAAGGATTAGATTGGTATAAATCGCAAATGCCATATGCTTTACGAAATCAGACAGTGCTAGACAAATCACCTGGTTATATATCTCCACAAACCTGCGATAAAATCAGAAAGGATTTACCTTCGGATGTGCGTATAATTGCTATATTACGTGATCCAGTCGCACGTGCTGTATCCGACTTTGTTCACATACATGCTGTCCTAGAGAATGCTAAAAAGAGCGGGTCTGGTGCCTATGAAAAAGACGTCGCAAGCCTAGGGAAAGGTTATGACCTCGTCAGCTCTCTTGAAGATTCTCTAATAGATGCCAATGGAAATGTAAGAATTGAAAATGGTATAATAACAAAGGGAATATACGTAAACAAGTTACGGTACTGGTTTAAACAATACCCAAGAGATCAAATACTTCTTATTGATGGAAATGATTTAAATAAAAATCCATACAAAGTTATGCAAACCATGGAGAAATTTCTTGGACTGCAAACATATTTTACCGAAAAACATTTTTACTTCAACCCAGTAAAACGTTTCTATTGTTTAGCTCGTCCAATTAATGAGTGTATGGTTGAAAGTAAGGGTCGGTCACACCCTGTATTGTCACAAAATATTACTAACAAATTACAGGATTTCTTCAAACCATTTGATAGGAAGCTTGAGGAGCTAACAGGCCAGAAGTTTTCATGGGTGAGAAGAAATTAATTAGGATTTAATATTTTTACATTCGTCCAGACTACAACCATAATTGCTTAATTAAGGAAATTCATCATTTTTCTGAATAGGTTGCTTGACTAGCTTGACACAAATTTATTTTAATGTTCGTAAGTATATTTCACTTTTGAAAAATAAAAACATAAACAAAATATACTTGTATCAGAGTTAAACACGTTTTCCGTATAATAAGACCTTCTGACAAAAGAGTGTTTGGTAGCCCTACCAAGTGGGATATGAGTCTGGACGGGATTTTTGTTGTTATTTAAAACGGCTTTGTCTGTCAAGGGCTAAAACAATTCATAAAGTCAATTTCATATTTGAATTGGTTAATGTCTATGTTTATACCTCAACCAAGTCAGCCAAGTATGATATGTATTCACCACTGTCTGTTTGTTAGCAAGATTACACAATCATAAACTTTAGTGAAGATGTACACCATAATCTAAGATTAATTTTGAGAAGAAAAAGTCGAGGAGGTGTTGAAAAATGTATAACGACTTGTCCTGAAACAATTGCTTTAGCCTATTTTTCTATGTCATTGGTTTGACTAATATACGGAATTACACCCCGCTCAAGTAAATTTTGTAGAAAACGTGGGCTGGGAGATTATTTGGGAAAGTCTTTTGCACTTAAAAAATGTAATAATTTATAAGATTTAAAAGCATTAACTAGTATTAATTAAGTATTAATTTGACATTAATATTTGAGCAATGTTTTTTGATAGTGGAGTTGATTCTTCGATGGTAATTGTTGCGTTTTAGGGGAATACAAGTTTGGGCGATAGATTTTTATTCAGATAAGTATGTATTATTTTTTATTAATTAATACAATTTTAAAACATTTTTTTTGAAAAAGTAAATAAGCTTTCTTAAAACGTTAAGTACGATTAATCAGGGTATGTAGAAGTCCGGGTTTATATCAGGGGCGGATCCAGAGATGTCCAAAGGGGGGGGGGGGGAATTTGGGCCGATCGAGACAACACTGAAATAGGAGGTCCGGGGGCATGCCCCCGCGAAATTTCTGTGTTTTAGACGCCCAAAAATAACAGTTGAGGCGTTCTGGGCTATCGTTTTTTCTTTTTCTTTCTTTTTTTCTTTTTTTTACTTCTCAAAAGGTGGTGGGGGGGGGGACGGTATGTTTTTATGATAAACTGAGACCATTATCAGACTATTGCACTTCTTGGAGGGGAAAGTCCGGGAAAATTGTCCGGAGTGGGTGGGGGATATGTCCAGTCCAGTGGGACCACCAGCCTGCTCCCGACCATACTGTTAAATATTTAACATAATTTTTGCGCCCTCATAAGTTGTTTTCTTGATATTTGTTTACGCCCTGTTGAGGTAGCCTCCTTTTTCTTGCGTGTGGGTTTTAATTTAGTAGCAGGTTTCGCATGGAACCATGGAAGAAAATATTTTCTTCCTCCATGATCGAACGTAGTATTTGAACGTTATACGAGTTAAGTAATAATTGTATCCATAGACCTAAATAGGCCCATTTTATATCTATAGGTTTGCTACGTTATATTTTGTGGATCGCAAATTTCACGAATATTGCGTATGACGGTCAGCTATTAAGTTCGTTTAGGGGGATATGTCCAACTGGACAACCAGCCTGCTCCCGACCATATTGTTAAAGATTTAACATAATTGTAAGTTATTGTTTTCTTGATATTTTTGTTTTCATGATTATGGCGTCTGACGGTAGATAAGTTTGGCTTTTTAGGGCAAAGTTTTAAACACTGTCCCGACTATCAAATTTTATTTGACAGAAACATGTGACATGCAAATATGGCCATGATGACGTCACGTCATGACTATAAATAGGCCTACGGTATATAGGCATATCATGACTACATATTATGGGCATACGAATGTTTTGTTTTTTTTTTGTAAAGGAAAATTTGATAGTGTAGACAAAGCAGATTTAAAGCCAGGTCAGGTGTAGGACTAGAACAAGCTCGGCCAGTATGGAACACAGTTTCGTATGTTTTCAGTCAATTCGATTCATTGAATGACAAATAAATATCCTGATAATTATAGTATTATCTATTATTTATTCATTTAGGCACACAATACATGCACCAAGGATTGTCAATAGCGAATATATCACTGTCCTACGTGTAGGTGACAATTCCTTTTCACAAGAAAAACATACACACACGATGCTTTACAATATATGAGGTTTAGGGAGTGGAGTTGTTTCAGTCGTAAGAAAAAATCCTGTTACCGTGACAGGATTTGAATCTTGAGTACCATATTATTGATGCTTAATGCTGTTGTATTTAAGTTAGTTTCAACCGTAGATGTAAATAAGTTTTTATCTTTCCAAAATTATTCTTCCTTATGTAGATCTCCCTTATTTCAATTGTTTGACGATTCCTACATTGGAATTTTAAAGGTATTTCTGCTATAATTTTTATGTTTAATTCTAAGATTATTTACATGATATATAAGATTGCTTGTATCTTATTTTGACATAGTTTCTAAGATTTTAACCATGTGATTGCTAAAATTGATGATAATATAAATAACTTTATTTAAAAACTACACTTTTGCATCAGTGCTTTGAGGTGCGTTCACAATAAAACAATACAATCCACATGCTTTAAAACAGTTCAACGAATTCAGTGGCGTAGAAAAGTATTTTTCATTGGGGTGGGGGGATGATTGGCGTGTTAGCCAGTGTCGTAACAGGCGCGGGAGCGGGGGGGGGGGAAACTGCCCCTCCCCTGACGGTTTTTACCGGGCTGACCAAGCCGTCGTACCGGGCTTGGTAATAAGAAAAAAGAAAGAGGGGAGAGGTAGGGAAAGACAAAGAGGAGGAAAAGAAAAAGAAAGAAAAAGAAAAAGAGAAGAGAAAAATAAAGACAAGAATAAAAAGGAAGATATCATAATGACCAGACTCACAACACCCTGCAACCACTTCTCCACTTCAAAAACTGTCATAACTCCTTTGATCTATGCTGCTCGATGGCGTAACCACTGGGGGACAAGGGGAAATATCTATCTTTGAAAAATCTTCCGCACCACTTTATAAATGCCCTTTTCATCCCCTGAAAGTGCCTAAAAACCTCAAATTTCGCGCGCTTCGCGTGCATTTCTTGTCAACATGGGCCAATTTTCTCTAAAAATTGCACATTTTAGGGAGTTTTGATCAATTCCAACGAAATTAGAATTAAAAACACTGGGGGACAAGGGGAAAATATCCATCTTTGGAAAATCTTTCCCCACCCCCTCCACCCCTTGACAAATGCATCCTCTGAAAGTGCCTAAAATTCTCAAATTCTTTGCGCGCATTTCTTGTTACGGTAGGCCAATTTCCTCTATAAATTGCACATTTTAGGGAGTTTTCATCAATTCCGACGAAATTAGAATTAAAAACACAAAAATATTTTGCGCGCTTCGCGTGCATTTTGTAGGGTTTTTTAGGTTTATCCTTTTAAGTTATTTAAACACATAATAGTCCCAAACTCAAGAAATACAAATTTAAGATAGGTCGTTTTAACCGAAAAGAAGGGCCTCAATGTGTATTGATGGTGAAAGAATATGTTTGTAATAAATAAAACCATGATGAAAATGCTTATAATTTAGTTTCAAACACATGTGTGTGGCCTATATTATAAATAAGATAAGCCCTATGTCGTATTGTTTTCTATATGTGGAGTGGGGTGGGTATGGTAAATTACTAACCGGGAAAATAAATACCCACTCTGAGCTAAGACCCCTGTTACGCGCCTGGTGTTAGCGCCAATGTGTGCCCTTGTGCGGACAGGGGATGTGCTCCCCTCTGAAGCTGGAAACCTTGTTTTTGCAAAATAAATTGATGCAATTTTTGGAGGCTCACACTTTGTATAGAATAAAACCGTTAACATCCAGCTTACTTGGTGTCTGGCTCATTCATTGAAGTCCGAACTCATCTAGTAACATCCATAGAGAGTTACACTTGTAAATTAATCACTCCTAAACTAAACATAAAAACCATTAAAATATGATTTAAAATACAGGCAAAGCCGTTGCAGATTAAAAATGTTTAAGACAATGTAAAAAATTGAAAAGTAAATCCAGAATTTAAAAGCTTTAACGATAAAATTGTTGATTAAAAAATTGAAATGGTTTGAAAAAATGCTAATATGATGATGTAATGTAAGATCGATTTATGTTATAATATTTTGTGGTAATTATGTAGGTAACTATGGGCTCCAAACAGTACATTAAAATTCACAATCGGTGTACAGTTTCGCTTACAGCTTACAACTTAATACTGAACTTATCACTGATTTAAAGGTTTTGTTATTACTGTAGCAAGTTTAAGGTATTTTAATTATACTCATACACACGTTTTGTTAATTTTTATAATAAGTCACCATTTTGGTGAGGTGTGATTCAATAAAATTAGTCACAAACTATTTTGAGACAATGCGTGCTTCTGTCTGGTTATTTTACTGCCTCAATGCTGGACAAACATTGAGATAATGTACACATAGGCCTACAGAAAGATGATGATGGTGATGTTGATAGTGATGGTGCTGATGATAATTATGATAATAATAATAATAATAATAATAATAATAATAATAATAATAATAATAATACGGTAGTGCATAACAAATCTGGCATAATAATAATAATAATAATACGGTAGTGCATAACAAATCTGGCGACATCTCAATGCGCTTTACCCAATTTAAAAATAGGTACCTAAAAGGTACATGTGGCTACTGAATTGCCTTTTTTTTGTTGTTTTGTTTTTTGTTTTTTCTGTTTGGGTATTGTTGTTTTTTAAGTTCAACCGAATAAGGAGATGCTAGGTCTGCTTCAGGGTGGTGAAAGAAACAAATTTAATTTGTTTTTAAAATAAATCAATTTTAATTATTAAAAATATTAACATTTTCAAAATATAACGATTTTCTAACAAGATAGCAATAAAGGCTTTCATTTTAATTATAAATCGGTTTATTACAGAAAACGTATTTTTAAAAACTTTTTATCACTTGAAAATTGACATCTTATTGAACATTTCAAACACTTTTTGCCTGCAGTCTGGACTGGGTGTTTCATTTTGTGAATGAAATTTTCCCAAATAGTTGTCTGTACTGAACACGATGGGTCAATCAGCATACATTCTGCAATATTTTTAGCCCATTTCTTGTGTTGGACTTTTTGGTTCCTGAAAGCTATATAACCTTAGCTTTTATGGTTACAAGTTGGGTGTTGCTTGCATGTGAAAGTAAAGAAATGTTTTGGGTTGATAAATGCCAAAATTTGGAATGGTATCTCTTCCAACTGCTTTATTTTAACTTTTGAGTTTATACGAATATTGGTACCGAAATCGCTCAGCTTCACTGGACTTCGGTTTTCAATAATTCTGTATTTCAGTGTGATTTGAAGCAGAAAAACAGTTTTTCTTGAAAATTGTCTGCAGTGGTTTGTAATGCATTTTGAAGTAACGTACTGATTTGTGTTTTGTTTTTTTTAACTGGAGATACATTATAAATGTAGACTTCTCATGTTCATTAACCTGAAATGATAAAGTATAAAATGCAAAATTAATTATTCATGGTGAAAAATTAGTGAAATATGAAAATGACTATAGATTTTTTAAATGAAGATTTACATACCTTAAGGGCACCCTTGCAGTGCAGCATTATTGCTTTACAATTTTGCTGCCTTTTTTTATAATGAAAATTAATTTATATATTTATATTTATTATTACCAATATTAACAATAATAATTTTTAACATGTTTAACGACTCATGAAAAATGCATATTTATTACGCTAGACCTCATCATAGATAACTATCAGAAGTCCAGCTGCAGGCCGATTCAAGATTCCGGACTTGCTAAACATTATTAACTGAACTGAACTGTAAAATGTAGTAGTAGTAGAACACCTAAGTCCTAATTATGACTATACAAAAGATAGGCCCTAGGTCGTTTAGCCAGATATATTCACCTACCTAGCCTTTGCGGCCCTATCGTTTTATTAGCAATAGTCCTAATACCTACCTAGCTACGTGTTTTTTTTTTTCTTTTAACGTTTATGTATAAACATGGCTTCTGAAATGACCGTAGTAGAACCAAGAACTCCCTCGTAGAATTAGCACTAGCCTAGTTATATTACACATCAGTAGTATAGGGCTACCTAGCTTAAATAGCTGGGCCTATGCGCGCCTAGTCCTATCTGGGTATTGACAAAAACTGCGAGTCAGCGAGGCATGCGATTCATGCAAGCCATCTACCCTCGTGACGAATTCAAGTGCAATTCATGCGAGGCAGGACGAAGTATAGCCATAGTTGCCATTTCTGGCATAATTATGCTTTTTGGCATAATTTGGAGGCCACGCCATCTGGCATTATGCCGCGGCATAATCTAGGCGTTTTTAGCATAATTTCATGTTTTTTGGCATAATTTCATGTTTTGAAAAACCAAAAAAATATCCCAGGAATAATATTTTTTTTCCCTTAAAATTTTGGGCAATCTCGCACATATCATCTCGTACATGTATCATCTCGTAAAAATAATGGTAACATGTAATAATCACTGACTTCACTGCTACCGGGTTAAACTTGCCACAAGCCTCTAATTTATGGATTTTTCGTAGTATCAGCGCATTTTGGAATGCGCCACCAGCGTCAGTTTATGTTGAGAAACTTTTTTGATGAGAATTAATCCCAGAAAAAGAATACTATGGAACGCCATGCAAATAAGTAATATGGAACGCCATTTGTGCCAAAATCGATTTATTCTTAAGCATTTCAACTGATTAAGACAAAGATTAGGGACTGGAACCCAGTCTACTACCGGGTGTGCGATAGGCAGCGTCGTCGTCGCAAGTAACTGAGAATTGACCAATTATGTTGCTCCATTTGAGAGATCATGCAGCTTATTGGACAGAATTGAGGACCAAGTAAAAGTTCACGCTACTATAGGAACCCCTTAACAAGAATATTACTTTTAAGATGTTCCACTTGTATACAGTAGGCCCTATAATCAACTTTTTACTTTTTTTGTTTGTTAATGCCCTATTTCATACAATCAACTTGTAGGCTAAAATAGCTAAAAACTAGTTTGTATCACTACATCAGGGCATTTAGGTCTGGACCGTTGTTAAAGACAGTAAAAAATACTAAGGGTTTTAAGATAGGCATATCATGCTAAGCGGGTGATATACATGTAGTCACCGGCAATTTACATACATAGATAGGCTAGGCCTACTTAGCCTATCAGACTGCCCTTACTGAGACTCGGACATAATTGAGGACCACCAAGCTCACTTCTTAAGTGACAGTTCACGCTACTATATGAACACCTTAACAAGAGTATTACTTTTATATGTTCCACTTGTGTATAACCAACTTTTTACTTTTTTTTTGTTAATGCCCTATTTCAAACAATTCGTAGGCTAAAATAGCCAAAAACTAGGTTTATATCACTACAGCAGGGCATTTAGGTGTGGACAGTAATTCAAGACAGTAAAAAATACTACGGGTTTTAAGATAGGCATATCATGCTAAACGAGTACACAGATATAAACATTATTAAAAG